ACCCAAATAAGAGGTTAAAGCCAACTCGTTACATAACTTTTATTATAAATATAGAGTGGGAACCGAATCACAGTAATAAACTATGCATGTTTGGAAGGCGAGGACAGGAGTCGACGCTCGACCCTGCAAGTACATCTAGGTGAACGCACACAGTGTCATGTTAGCCCCCAACGTACACTTTCAGAATTATGCATTAAAATTCCCGAGACGAGATTATATACGATCATTGATTAGGACACGTGAGACATGTTTTGTATCGGTGTTAGAAGAGAGTGGGTGGGAAGAATGAGGGAGGATGATAAACACAAGGGAAAAATAATTAATTGAATAGAGAAATAAGTCGGCACGAGAAAGAAAAGAGGGAAGTATAGTGAGGGAAAAGGTGATATAAATAATGATTATGGGCGAGGAGGAGGGGGGGGGAGGGATTGAGAAACACGTGGCATGTGTTGGGAAACAAACCAAATAGGGAGAGAGAAAAACAGGAGAGACATAAGACTGCGTGAGTGTAAGTGTAGGTTTGATGGAGTTTGGTGGTGGCAGACAACAGTGAGGGTGTCAAGTGTGTACGGCTCTCTTCACTCCCTCCCTTACAGTCACTGCACTCTCCCTTCACTGGCCCCTCTCTACCCTCTCTCTGACCTCTCACCGCACCCTTACTGCCCTCTCATTGTCTCTTCTCTGCCCTGCCTCTGTTTCTTCATTGTCCCTTCAATGCCCCCTGATTGGCCACTCACTGTCCCTACACTGCTCCCGAGGCAAGGACAAGATATATTGTCACTGCTGATATAAGGTTGGAATTAAAGAGGATATTATGTAGTGTACATGGGACACTTGTTATGTAGTGTACATGGGACACTTGTTATGTAGTGTACATGGGACACTTGTTATGTAGTGTACATGGGACACTTGTTATGCAACACTTTATTCACGCGACGTGTCACGGAACGCTTTACGCGTCGGCTTGTGGGGATACTGTAAGGGGAGGGAGGGCGGCAGGTGAGGGGTGTCGGGGGGAGGGCGGCAGGTGAGGGGTGTCGGGGGAGGGGTGTCGGGGGAGGGGTGTCGGGGGAGGGGTGTCGGGGGAGGGGTGTCGGGGGAGGGGTGTCGGGGGAGGGGTGTCGGGGGGAGGGGTTTCGGGGGAGGGGTGGGAGGGCGGCAGGTGAGTGGTGTCTGGGGGAGGGAGGGGTGTCGGGGGGAGGGTGGCAGGTGAGGGGTGTCTGGGGGAGGGAGGGCGGCAGGTGAGGGGTGTCTGGGGGAGGGAGGGCGGCAGGTGAGAGGTGTCTGGGGGAGGGAGGGCGGCAGGTGAGTGGAGTAAGTGCGTGGGGTGAGGGGTGTGATGTGCGCCCGGTGGTGTAGTGAGGCGAGTGGTGGTGCCAGTGAGGGAGTGTATGTGTGTGTGGCGCGCCACCACAACCACCGTCCCGCTCACTCCATCATCGCCAACCCTCACTACTACATCCTGGAGGCGGACTCCTCCTCCTCCTCCTCCAGATATTTCCTCCAGCGCCTGCCACGATGGCAAGTGGTTCCTCGCACGGTGCGGGAGCCACCCTCCCTCTGGCAGCTTACACAGTGAATGCTCACATTTTGTAATGCAAGAGTGTTGCAAACATTGGCCCTGTGGTCAGTGTGTCAGAGTGAGGGATCTGAGAAGTAGTAGTGAGAACCGTGTAATAGTGAAGAGAAATGAGGGACAGTGGTGAAAACTGAGTAGTAGTGAGGTGAACTAGGGAGTAGTGGTGAAGGGAACTAAGGAATGCGTTGTTTTTAGACGTGAGTAATGAGAAATGATGAGTGTTCATTGGTGAGGAGAACTCAGTAGTGTAAAGTGTAGAGCAGCAAAACAGAGGAGCATTTACAGCCACACCCGGACCTACCATCTGCAGAGTTCAGAGTCACTGTGACAGGTAAGTCCTGGCTTAAAGTTTTTAAGGTGATGGAGTGTAAGGCAGAGAGGGAAGGTAGCACAGTGCTGCTAGAGACCTCGGCCAGTGTTGTTCATGCGTTGGTACAATGTTGGGCCCAAGGCATCAGTCTATGGAGGCTTCTTGAGGTTATCTTGAGATGATTTCGGGGCTTTGCGTCCCGCGGCCCGGTTCTCGACCAGGCCTTCTTTTTGTTACACACATCCCCAGGAAGCAGCCCGTAGCAGCTGTCTAACTCCCAGGTGCCTATTTACTGCTAGGTAACAGGGGCATTAGGATGAAAGAAACGTTTTGCCCATTTGTCTCTGCCTTCACCGGGGATCGAACCCAGAACCTCAGGACTACGAATCCGAAGCGCTGTCCACTCAGCTGTCAGGCGTCCTAAAGGCTTATTAAGGCCTATCAGTCTCTGAAGGGTTATTAAGGCCTATCAACTTCTGGAGGTTTAACTAGGCCTAAGAACCACTGTAGGCTGTAATAAGACCGACCGACCATTGATGGTTATTGAGGCTACCACAATAACCTACTAACCGACTAGCAAGTATACCTTAGTCCTGAACAAAGTCAAGGACTAAGGTAAGGTATAAGGAGAGAGGGCTAGGCCAGTATAACTGTATAGCAGTCCAAGACTAAAGTAACCTTTTTACATACACGAAGAAAAGGGTAGACCTTCCAAAGTATATACCCCTTGATGTCACTTTGTGTCAGATGTGCCTTCACGAACCAGGCAGTGCCAGCTGGCTCTTCGTGAGGGCGAGGACACACTAGGTGAAGGGAGGACCCGGCAACTGAGAAAGGTGTACAATGACGGAAGACTGGAAGACTTGCATGGCGCAGGGCCCCGGCCAATAATACAGGAATGTACAATAATCCTTAATCAATACAGGACTCTGTAGTAATGCAAACAGCACTGTACAATTCTAAGGTTGAGCAGCACCATACCATGGTAGTGCCAGCAGCACCATACCATGGTAGTGCCAGCAGCACCATACCATGGTAGTGCCAGCAGCACCATACCATGGTAGTGCCAGCAGCACCATACCATGGTAGTGCCAGCAGCACCATACCATGGTAGTGCCAGCAGCACCATACCATGGTAGTGCCAGCAGCACCATACCATGGTAGTGCCAGCAGCACCATACCATGGTAGTGCCAGCAGCACCATACCATGGTAGTGCCAGCAGCACCATACCATGGTAGTGCCAGCAGCACCATACCATGGTAGTGCCAGCAGCACCATACCATGGTAGTGCCAGCAGCACCATACCATGGTAGTGCCAGCAGCACCATACCATGGTAGTGCCAGCAGCACCATACCATGGTAGTGCCAGCAGCACCATACCATGGTAGTGCCAGCAGCACCATACCATGGTAGTGCCAGCAGCACCATACCATGGTAGTGCCAGCAGCACCATACCATGGTAGTGCCAGCAGCACCATACCATGGTAGTGCCAGCAGCACCATACCATGGTAGTGCCAGCAGCACCATACCATGGTAGTGCCAGCAGCACCATACCATGGTAGTGCCAGCAGCACCATACCATGGTAGTGCCAGCAGCACCATACCATGGTAGTGCCAGCAGCACCATACCATGGTAGTGCCAGCAGCACCATACCATGGTAGTGCCAGCAGCACCATACCATGGTAGTGCCAGCAGCACCATACCATGGTAGTGCCAGCAGCACCATACCATGGTAGTGCCAGCAGCACCATACCATGGTAGTGCCAGCAGCACCATACCATGGTAGTGCCAGCAGCACCATACCATGGTAGTGCCAGCAGCACCATACCATGGTAGTGCCAGCAGCACCATACCATGGTAGTGCCAGCAGCACCATACCATGGTAGTGCCAGCAGCACCATACCATGGTAGTGCCAGCAGCACCATACCATGGTAGTGCCAGCAGCACCATACCATGGTAGTGCCAGCAGCACCATACCATGGTAGTGCCAGCAGCACCATACCATGGTAATGCCAGCAGCACCATACCATGGTAGTGCCAGCAGCACCATACCATGGTAGTGCCAGCAGTACCATACCATGGTAGTGCCAGTAGCACCATACCATGGTAGTGCCAGCAGTACCATACCATGGTAGTGCCAGTAGCACCATACCATGGTAGTGCCAGCAGTACCATACCATGGTAGTGCCAGTAGCACCATACCATGGTAGTGCCAGCAGTACCATACCATGGTAGTGCCAGTAGCACCATACCATGGAAGTGCCAGCAGTACCATACCATGGTAGTGCCAGTAGCACCATACCATGGAAGTGCCAGTAGTACCATACCATGGAAGTGCCAGTAGCACCATACCATGGAAGTGCCAGTAGTACCATACCATGGAAGTGCCAGTAGCACCATACCATGGTAGTGCCAGTAGTACCATACCATGGTAGTGCCAGTAGTACCATACCATGGTAGTGCCAGTAGCACCATACCATGGAAGTGCCAGTAGTACCATACCATGGAAGTGCCAGTAGTACCATACCATGGTAGTGCCAGTAGTACCATACCATGGTAGTGCCAGTAGTACCATACCATGGTAGTGCCAGTAGTACCATACCATGGTAGTGCCAGTAGTACCCAGCAACAAAAAGTGTTAATATTTCATCCCAGACTGGAGTACAAGACACGAGTCAAAATTACCTCTATTCGTTTCCCTCTATTACTACCCCTAGCAGTACCTAGCAGTATTGTTACCTAGTAGTAAAATAGGTACCTGGGTGTTAGTCAGCTGTCACGGGCTGCTTCCTGGGGGTGGAGGCCTGGTCGAGGACCGAGCCGCGGGGACACTAAAAAGCCCCGAAATAATCTCAAGATAACCTCCGAAGATAACTCCATCTTTAGCCACACGTTCCGACCTTCACCCACACAACCCGACCAAGCCCATCTCAGTGTACACACTTCAACCTTTCAACAACAGCTCAATCATACACTATTCAAGCACCTGCTTTCTTCTTGCCGCCCACAAAATCATTCCACCTACTGTTCCCCCATCCTAGTGTATTCAAACATTTCTGCCCATCACTGCCCCATCACTTCTCCCCTACCATTACTACTCTACTTACATTTACCTCCATGTTCATAGCCTCCACACCTATATCCCCATTCCCTACCGACTCCTTCCATAAACCCTTACCCTTCATAAACACAAGTGACACAGACTCAAAATCAAGAGGAAAATCCTCGAAGTGTGGCACACTCGAATCCCGAGGGGACTAATAACAAAATATGAGATGGAGATAATAGATTAATATAATCCAGATATAATAGCAGTAGTGGAGACAAAGCTCGCCTGTCAAACCTTCCACCTGCCACTACTACTGGTAAGGGAGCCTTCACAAGCTCTTCTCACCACCCCGTTAATGACACCATTACTCCCAGGTTGGAGTAATGGTGCAAGAAGTCACAACGGTTACAGGCAAATCTACACACCCTTAACTACAGCTCCACGCTGCTCTAATTTTCCACAACTTGTTCTAACACTAAATGCTTCGCCATTTGGATACATTTTACAGAAGCAGGCCTATTTAGGCGATTTAGGCACTTGCACGCATGCTCGGACTAATGAGTCACTAAGTGTGAATTTTCGAACTAACGAGCATAGTTCTCTGAAAGGTTTATTTGCTGTATCTAAGTTCGAACTTTGGTGTTTACACAAAAAATGGTTCTCCTCGAGTCTTGAGAACTTGCTGGATGCCTTCAAATGGGAGGTTGACATCCAGTACGGGCCCAAGAAGTCTTGTCCGACACTTGAGACGAGAGCCGGGGACCGAGTCTTCCGGTCCATGTTTGGTCGGGCATGTCAACACCAGCGACCGCCTCACTTCTCTCGTGTTAGTTTTACCAATAATATCCACAGCAAAAAAACGTCAAGCCAATTAAAGGCATATATGAACTTTAGAAGGAAGTTAAAAATGAAATGTCTAAAGTGCGTCTAAAGTGTGTGGAGCTTACATGATACCATCTGTACCAGTGTTCAGTTCATATGCTATCAAATGTATAAATGCAATTTATATACTACCCACTGTAGCAGTGTGAGGTTTATATGCAACCAATGGTACCTGTGTGAAGTTTACATGCTAAGGAGGCAGCCCTGGTTCAGCGGCCCTGGCCAGGGACCGGGCCGCTGAGCCCCGAAAACAACGCAAGGTACCAAACGTACCCATGAGGAGGTTTACATGCTACCAAACGCGCCTGTGTAGAGCTATATACCACCAAATGTATAGCGTTTACACGCTACCAAAAGTACTTGTGTAGAGCTCATATGCTACCTCATACACTTGTGTAGAGCTCATATGCTACCTCATACACTTGTGTAGAGCTCATATGCTACCTCATACACTTGTGTAGAGCTCATATGCTACCTCATACACTTGTGTAGAGCTCATATGCTACCTCATACACTTGTGTAGAGCTCATATGCTACCTCATACACTTGTGTAGAGCTCATATGCTACCTCATACACTTGTGTAGAGCTCATATGCTACCTCATACACTTGTGTAAAGCTCATATGCTACCTCATACACTTGTGTAGAGCTCATATGCTACCTCATACACTTGTGTAGAGCTCATATGCTACCTCATACACTTGTGTAGAGCTCATATGCTACCTCATACACTTGTGTAGAGCTCATATGCTACCTCATACACTTGTGTAGAGCTCATATGCTACCTCATACACTTGTGTGAGCTCATATGCTACCTCATACACTTGTGTAGAGCTCATATGCTACCTCATACACTTGTGTAGAGCTCATATGCTACCTCATACACTTGTGTAGAGCTCATATGCTACCTCATACACTTGTGTAGAGCTCATATGCTACCTCATACACTTGTGTAGAGCTTATATGCTACCTCATACACTTGTGTAGAGCTTATATGCTACCTCATACACTTGTGTAGAGCTTATATGCTACCTCATACACTTGTGTAGAGCTTATATGCTACCTCATACACTTGTGTAGAGCTTATATGCTACCTCATACACTTGTGTAGAGCTTATATGCTACCTCATACACTTGTGTAGAGCTTATATGCTACCTCATACACTTATGTAGAGCTTATATGCTACCTCATACACTTGTGTAGAGCTTATATGCTACCTCATACACTTGTGTAGAGCTTATATGCTACCTCATACACTTGTGTAGAGCTTATATGCTACCTCATACACTTGTGTAGAGCTTATATGCTACCTAGGATACTTAGGTAGCATATAAGCTCCATCCGTGTCCTAGGTAGCATATAAACTCTATGAGGGGAAGGCAGAGCACAGTGCTAATAGTGTTGGAAACAGGTTTGCCATGATAGAAATTTCGTTTAGCTTGAGAATAGACACAATTGATAAAGTGTAAGGGGTAACCAAGGTGAGAGAAAGATTTGTAAATAAAGGGAATTTTAAGAATCAAGAAACTGAGGGGTCACTGATCCGTAGAGCGCGGAGGAAGAGAGAGACGAAAAAACTTTTCTTAACAGGAGGAGGAGGATGGTAGGAAAAAAGTGAGCATTACCAAAAATAAATGTTTCTAAAAGTATTACCAAAAGTGAGTATTACCATAAGTAATTAATAAAAATTAGTAATTACCAAAAATGAATAATTACCAAAATTATCAAAAATGGAGCAATTAAGAGTAATAAAAAGAACCAAAAGATTGTTACCAAAAGTGAGTACCTAGGAGGCACCAAGCCCATAAGTCGACACTCTCTCCCGATTGTCACTGAAATATTTATATGTTTACGATGACATGAGAAATGAATACAATTATTTCCAAATCTGAAGATACATCAGAACAATATTAACGAAGCAGAAAATGATTTAGCATAAAAGCAGACAAACACAACAAAGTTAAAATAATAGTTAAGAGCAGACCTCTCCAAGAACACACTAGGTAACTAAGAACAGACCTCTCCAAGAACACACTAGGTAACCAAGAACAGACCTCTCCAAGAACACACTAGGTAACCAAGAACAGACCTCTCCAAGAACACACTAGGTAACCAAGAACAGACCTCTCCAAGAACACACTAGGTAACCAAGAACAGACCTTTCCAAGAACACACTAGGTAACCAAGAACAGACCTCTCCAAGAACACACTAGGTAACCAAGAACAGACCTCTCCAAGAACACACTAGGTAACCAAGAACAGACCTCTCCAAGAACACAACTGAGTAATTTATTTGTCCGTGAAAAGCTAATTACATTTACATTGGCCAAAAAGGCAAAACTGATATAAAATCAATTAGCGAACACAATTACATAATTAGTACATGTTCTGAGTCAAGAGCTTTATTTTAGAAACAATATTTATGCCATTGATTGCTCTTGGTCCAAAAAGTGTGTGTAATCTCATTGAAATGAAAAGTTAATTAGGAAAATTTGTTCTAATATGAAATGACCAATTATAAATTATGGTGTATAAAATAGAAAGCATTATAAAAAATACTGAACTTGAACAATAAAGAAAAATCAAACTAGTTCATGTAAATGATTAATGGTATTTAAAAATTCATGAAAATGTAAACAACGTTCAGGAGTTGCAGTCCATGGACCCAGGTTCAATTCCCAGCAGTGACAAAAATAAATGGGCAGACTTTCTTTCAATTGATGCCTATGTTAACCTAAAAGTAAATAGGTACCTGGGAGTTAGACAGCTGCTGCAGAATGCACTTTGGGGATGTGTGTGTGTGTGTGTGTGTGTGTGTGTGTGTGTGTGTGTGTGTGTGTGTGTGTGTGTGTGTGTGTGTGTGTGTGTGTGTGTGTGTGTGCGCGCGCGCGCGCGTATGTGTGAGAGAGAGAGAGAAACATATGTAGAATACTTCTACAGCTTTTCCATATAAATATTTTATTAAATTATATATATATATATATATATATATATATATATATATATATATATATATATATATATACATATATACATACATATATACATACATATATACATACATATATACATACATACATATATACATACATACATATACATACATACATATACAAGAAGGTACAATGGGTTTATGAGAGTACACAGCATTGATGTTTTTACAATTCTTGTAAAGCCACTAACACGCATAGCGTTTTCGGGCAATATTATTGTCTGCAGTGTATGAATTTCAAATACAGAGATAGGGTTCCATAACAGCCTAAAGTGTACAACATGGCTACCAAGGTCTGCTTAAGCAGGTGAGCACGGGCTTGCTCAAGCAGGTGAAGTTTTTCGAGGTAGCAGACTGATCTGTGATGCCATTTTTTACTTCTCCTGTTTCCTCTACAGGTAGCACAAAACTCAGTTTTTTCTTGGCAATATCATTGTAATGGGGATCTCTGGCTATCTTAATTGTAAGCTTAGCATTCAGTTCCAGAATTTGGCTTTTATCACTCGGGAGGGACAACTCCTCTCGTAGATTAGATGTTTTGGCAGTTCTTAGGACTCTCTTAAAAATAATGAACCTCGTGCGTTACAGCATAACATGCACCCTACCCTGCTGGAATGAGAGTTATTCCTCGCTCCAGCATACTCGTAACTAATGTTGGAAGTGAAGTAGAGTTAACATGATAACCAGTGTGTGTCCGGAGTAGTAGTTGCATAATTTGAGGCAATGTTTGACACAGAATAACATCTAGACTTAAGAAACAAAGACGGCGACGGCAGAAGACTATCTGGAGGAAGAGAGAGATGGATGATGTCATCACTAGCTAATGGGAGAGAAGTAAGACCGTGAAGTGACACAGTTGGGAGTCACGGATTGGCCAGAGCTCACTTGCATGGAGAGGGTCAAGAGAGACGTTTTCGCAACCCTGGGGGTATTGGCAGTGAAAGTTCTTCTGTCATCGTCGAGGAACGGCCGAGAAAGTGCGTCTGAACGCTGTACAAGTTAATGTGGCGTCGACCTCTATTTCGTGACCCCAGGAGCAACGTCCTGAAGCCAAGAAGGGTGGACGTATCCGTAGGAGTATTGTTTGAGCCTACAGATTTTGTTCGTCCGAGGAGTGCACACGAGTGTAGTCCATTATCCTATTAATACACCGAAATATCCTATTAATACGACTGAACACTAAAAGACACACCTAAACAAATTATTATAATAATAAATCACCTACAAATTCTCTAATAGAAGATAAGATAATATTTTTCTCGTGGACAGTCCGCGACGGACCTTAAACCTGTTCAGTGTTGCTCATGTAAGCAGTTCTCGGAAAATGGAATATTATCTATGATTCGTATGCCAGTTCCAATAAAGATTATATTTGATGTGTTTTACTGTCTCTCTCTTGGGTTAATTATAACTCACGAATATTAGATAATGTTCGAGTGGTATTTTAGACATCTCTACAAAGTTGACTTGATTTCTTCCGAATCTTGGCAATTAAATTCCCTTGAAGATGAGTGTCTGAGCACAACAGTTCGAGTGGACCTCTGTCCCTATATTGGGGGGCTTCTTAACCTTGAGTGCATGAACCCCAGAAACTCTCTAGTCTTTATATGTTCATAATACACTAGAACATCATTGAACATATAACTAGCCTTGGAGCATATATACTAGATACAATACAAGGGGCACCCTAGAATGAAAACCACATGTTCTATTGTGTCCTTTCAACATAATGGTTCATAGTGGGTCAATTTCTTGTATGATCCCGTAAATGCCCCATGTTCACTGAATATCTTGGGCACGGCTTTAGCTCTAATTATCTCGTCTCTCTGCGACAGACTTTTTTATATATATGTCTTCATTACTCCAATTCGTTGCTCATTTTTCAGCTTCATCTGTAATCTCATTTCCTGATATTCCTCTATGAATAAACACCCAGCTGATGAGTCTTTGACACCTTTGACGTATTACTGTTTTCTTAAATGCAAGAGCATTTTTTGGTTAGTTCGATGTGTTCTAGGTGGTCGTGGTGCAAGGTTTCAATATAGAGTACTTGACACATTTAAACATTGAAATATCGAGCTCCCATGACAACTTTCGCACCAAATAGATTCTTCTTTGAGTATGATCAAGTATTTCTAATATTAATTTTTAATGCTCTCATTCTCCCGCATTCCGTTTCCAGGACCTATCTCCGTCCATGTCCTCCACCTTCCAGCCCATCATCTTCCATTTCTGCATATCTCGCCTTCTAGTAAATCCCTTTCTATCCCTGCATGTTTGCATTATTCATTAATCTTCTTCCAGTCCATCACATTCCTTGCTAGCATCTTTCCACTTTCCAGTAACTCCACTTCAATAAATGCTTATCTTCATTTTCCAGTATATCACTATTCATTCCATCACCTTTCATTCCTGCATATCTCCGTTTTCTACCCCTTCATCTTCTATTCTGCGTATCTTCACCTTCCAGTATATCACCTTCCATCTGTGCATATCTCCACCTTCCAGTCTATCACCTTTCATTCCGGCATCTTTCATTCAACACGCATCCACCGTCAGAGGGACAGCCAGGCAAAGGTTGAACAAGCCAGCGTTGCTTCTCCTTTGAGCCCAATACACAATACAACAGTTGTCTCTGCAAGCATCACGTCTAAACAATATACAGAACACTTCCCAATCTGCACCAGCTTTTACCATGCAACCAGCGTGTGATGTACCAATACATCACACGCCATTTTTTACCACCTAGACCAGCTTTAACTATCAAGTGGTCAAAGAAAATAATGTATAATGCCAAGAATTCTTCGTGGATACAAGTACCCCGAGAGATTTGGGATGGAAACTACCGCTGAGCAGCGAAGTTGTAGAGTCTGTGATACCAGAAATGGATTCTCTCTCTCTCTCTCTCATTTTTCTTTAACGAAGACAGGGACAGGGGTTCATTACGGTTGTCAATTGAGGTACCTAATAAAACTGCAAACAAGAGCTGTTATCCTACCTCATCTCATCTAAAGCCTGCCCCCTAGAGATTATTTCTCTCTCATTCTCTCTCTGCAACATAAGAGGGGAACATAACTTGTGTTCCTGTATCACTCTACAGTGTTGTTATTTCACACTGCAGTGGTCCTCTCTCATGCACACGCTCCAGGGTGTGGAGCGTGCTATGTCACGCTCCAGGGTATTCCTATCTCACGCTCCAGGGTATTCCTGTCTCACGCTCCAGGGTATTCCTGTCTTACGCTCCATGGTTCTTGCGTCACAACACAAATGCTTAGCGTCCAGTTCACTTGAAGGTCAACTGGCACACCAAGCTCCACGATCTTGGTAATGGAATGATATATGTGATACATGTGTCCCCTTAAGCGAATATGGTCTCCCTGTATAATAATTACACTCGTTATGTTTCTAATTGCAGGTTTAAGAGCTGCCATGAATGGGTCGTCAGGACAAAATTGTAGGCTATCAAGGACACACGTGTAATGGTGGCATTATCGCAAGTTAGGTGGGTGTATTCACCTAGATGTGACTTGAGTTGAACTCCAGCTCCAGATATCAAATGGTTACTGCAGTGATTATTTCTATACAGAACGTATCCATTATCTGAATTGTTGCACAATAAGAAAAATTTCTAATATTTTTTAGGTATGAGATAATCAGAGTAACCAATTTTAATGTCTATTCCGCACCTAGGACATCAGCATTAGTGCCGAGTGCTTTAATTAATGACCACCTCCAGTCTGCAACCTTGGAGGGCATCAGGTTGGCTACTTAGTGGAGGAAGATCTACTAATTTATAATAAAGGGTTACAATTGTCATCTCTTTATTTGTATAGTTATCTTTTGAGTAATTGTATTACGATATCATAATTGGCTTCCGTTAGGTCTAAATTTGCAATCATGACTTTCACTTCCCCCTTTAAGCTGGCCTTGTAGGTGCATGATTTTGTTGGTGCTTGGAAATTTATCAAGACATCAAAGGATTGCCAAAAATTGCCCGAGCTTTCCACATCTACTGTAGCAAAAGTGGCTAATTAAGTGACTCTTGGTAGCTGGGCTTGTGCTTGTAGTTGCAGTAAGATAATTGCAGCAGCTGCAATTGCTATGACAGCCTTGTGTTGTACAAGCATGTTGATGACTGGATCTAACTTGGCCCGAGTATCAAATTCATACTAAGGTAGGCCTGCCAGGATGCTGTGGTAGGTCTACCAGGATGCTGGGGTAGGTCTACCAGGATGCTGTGGTAGGTCTACCAGGATGCTGTGGTAGGTCTACCAGGATGCTGTGGTAGGTCTACCAGGATGCTGTGGTAGGTCTACCAGGATGCTGTGGTAGGTCTACCAGGATGCTGTGGTAGGTCTACCAGGATGCTGTGGTAGGTCTACCAGGATGCTGTGGTAGGTCTACCAGGATGCTGTGGTAGGCCTGCAACTTGATATTTAAGACAATACCTTCTGGTACGATACTTGTAAATTGATTTATCCGACTTTAAAATAGGGTCAGCATGTTGATATTATGCTTGAACTACTGATATTCTACTCTTACAGCGTTAAATTCCAAAAAATATACAGAAATTAACACTTTTCTAAAGAGTACAACAAGTGCAGAGAAATAATGCACAGTACCGGTGTGCTTTTACACAAACACAATATGACACTAATGTGGCAGTTTTTTCCCTGGTAATTATAGGATATAACCTTTATAATTACAATCAATTATAATTATAATGGCAAGAGACTTTATAATAGCCAACTATTAGCTGTTTGGATAACTAGACGATTTATTCTTTAAAATAAACAGTAGTTCCCTATGTATTCACTTATTAATAATGCCGAGCCACTATGCTCTGAAAAGTATATCTAATTACTAACAAGCTGTACCAGGTTACCAAGTTAGGTTAGACCAGGCCACTGTGGAGTAAAGATTAACTTTATTAAACTGCACAATCTGGTTAAAAAAGGATCAATGTAAATTTAGATAGTAACACCTCATAAATTAGACTGATACTATAAGGAGGCTATGTAATAAATTCTATAAATTAAAAGAAACAAATAAAGAATAACAGCCTAGCTGTTTATATGTAGTAGAGAGTGCAGATCCTCTCCTCGAGTGGTGTATAGTTGTGCGCATTAAGTCCTTCACACAAGTGCTTATGTCACCAACATGCCGGATTATCTAATTTAAACTTTTAATAAAGATTAAATAATATTACATGAAGCAAACACTGGTAAGTAAATTGATTTCAGGCGAGCCTAACCTAACCTATATTTCAATAATTGTGTTATAATATTTAACTCTCACAGAGTTAAACTATTTTGTTGCCAAGTATAGAACTGAATTTATCCAAGTTGAGGAAAATACATCAGGTGTATGAGTGCATGAGTGCATCAGATGCATGAGTGCATCAGATGCATGAGTGCATCAGATGCATGAGTGCATCAGATGCATGAGTGCATCAGATGCATGAGTGCATCAGATGCATGAGTGCATCAGGTGCGAGAGGTGCGAGAGGTGCGTGAGTGCGAGAGGTGCGTGAGTGCGAGAGGTGCGTGAGTGCGAGAGGTGCGTGAGTGCGAGAGGTGCGCGAGTGCGAGAGGTGCGTGAGTGCGAGAGGTGCGTGAGTGCGAGAAGGAGTACTAACCCCCCCCCCCCCAAGGAGGGTAAACAAGTCAGGTGTGTATTGTGCGTGGTGTTCCCCCGGGGGGGGACACATCAATCAATGGTCGCTAACACTCCATCAAGATCCGGCGTCTTGCAGCGTCTCTCAGGATCAATGCCCAGTGTATATAATTCAGGTGCATGTTGCAGACGGACTTAATCACTCACTTAAATTATCTCTATATGAAAAAATATATCTCTATATCTCTCTCTATCTCCCCCTCTCTTTCACCTTGGGATTACTGAAAGTCTTACGTTGAGTATAATGACTTAAGTGTGTCCAGAGAGCCCTTCCTCTGCCAGACCATATGCACTGATCTCTCTCCACCAGCCCACTCATGCCGCCCTCAGACCACTTGTGACAGTGACATCTCGTATAGTTTAGTGGGGAGTCAGTTGTCACCTAGGTCTCGACCTTTACACCCAACTGTTTTCTGTAAACCGTTCACACAATTGTGTACTTATCTTCAAAATTAACATATTAATTTAAAGCGATTTCTTACCACCTTTAATTGCGCTCAACTCCCTAAGACATAATTGCAGCATGTTTGTGTTTGAAGCTAGACACAAATACAACACAATTATTTATGATGGCAACAAGAGTTTATTTCATCCTTAATTTGGCCTCTTAATGCATGAGAGAACAGATGCGTTTGCCCAAAAATATGCAATCAAAGTCTGTATATGAAATCAAAGAAGAAATTGACTATAGCTTTGGATTATATAAGAAATTTGAGAACAAGAATACACCAAAAATCCCAACAAAACTTGTAGATCCGAAACAAAAATATAACTCAGCTCTTCTACCTGCCATAGTACTACCAACCCCAAAAAAGGCAAATGTCTATGAAACCAATATAATCCACATACTGCTCCAAATTACTACAACTCTGCATTAAGTATCTCTGGAGAGCGCGTTCTTGCCAGCGTTCCCAACGTCAAGAAACTGTCGCACTAAAATGTCCTAACCTAACCAACCAAAGGACCCACGAGCAGTAAACGGGACCTCGTGTAAATTTCGCGAGCCGCTACCATATTCTTGTACATCAGTTTTTGGCCATAAGTAGAGTATACGTGCGCATGCCAGGTGCTATAACAAGAACAGGTTGCTGTTCTTGTTAACCCTGCCAACGGGCAAGGATGGAGGAATGAATAACTGGGTAAAAGTCGAAATAAGGAATACGTTTGCGGGAGATGGGACAAGAGCAGATAGCTTCCTTAGCGGCAGCATCCGCACGCTCATTTAAAAAGACACCAACATGACTGGGAACCCAGCAAAACTCTACCGACTTAAATTTACTGGAGATAAGAAACAGCCAATGTTGAATCTCGATAACCACCGGATGGACCGGATTAGACCCCAGAGCCATGAGGGCACTATGAGAGTCAACTACAACCACAAAGGAGGATTGACAACGAGAAAGCAGGAGACGAAGAGCATAAAAAATAGTATAAAGTTCTGCCGTGAAGATGCTAGTCTCCGGAGGGAGGCGACACACACAAGTGTGGTCAGGGAAAAACAACAGAGTAGCCTACACCGTCCGCAGACTTGGACCCATCGGTGAAGATGGAAATGCAGTGGGAGTGTGAAGAAAAGTGTTCACAGAAAAAGCGTTTCAGAACCGTAGGAAGGGTAAAAGCTTTAGTGATGCGGCGTGAGGAAGGGCAAGTTAGGAAGGGCAGGTAAGAGGTGCGTGAGAAAGGGTATACATTCAATATTCACCACTACAGCCAAATTCCAATCTAAAGGTCGCGGGTCAGACCGCTTCACACCTCCCCAGTCCTCTGGCTGTGTCCCCTCAACCTCTCAGTGACCAACATCATCCCCTCACCTTCCCTCTCAGTGACCAACATCATCCCTCTCACCTTCCCTCTCAGTGACTATCATCATCCCCTCACCTTCCCTCTCAGTGACCTCGACTTTCTAGAGTTACAGTGTGGACTTGCTACAACCAATTATATACAATGGTTAAAGCCAGGGGCGTGGTGTGCCGGGTACAGCCAGGGGCGTGGTGTGCCGGGTACAGCCAGGGGCGTGGTGTGCCGGGTACAGCCAGGGGCGTGGTGTGCCGGGTACAGCCAGGGGCGTGGTGTGCCGGTACAGCCAGGGGCGTGGTGTGCCGGGTACAGCCAGGGGCGTGGTGTGCCGGGTACAGCCAGGGGCGTGGTGTGCCGGGTACAGCCAGGGGCGTGGTGTGCCGGGTACAGCCAGGGGCGTGGTGTGCCGGGTACAGCCAGGGGCGTGGTGTGCCGGGTACAGCCAGGGGCGTGGTGTGCCGGGTACAGCCAGGGGCGTGGTGTGCCGGGTACAGCCAGGGGCGTGGTGTGCCGGGTACAGCCAGGGGCGTGGTGTGCCGGGTACAGCCAGGGGCGTGGTGTGCCGGGTACAGCCAGGGGCGTGGTGTGCCGGGTACAGCCAGGGGCGTGGTGTGCCGGGTACAGCCAGGGGCGTGGTGTGCCGGGTACAGCCAGGGGCGTGGTGTGCCGGGTACAGCCAGGGGCGTGGTGTGCCGGGTACAGCCAGGGGCGTGGTGTGCCGGGTACAGCCAGGGGCGTGGTGTGCCGGGTACAGCCAGGGGCGTGGTGTGCCGGGTACAGCCAGGGGCGTGGTGTGCCGGGTACAGCCAGGGGCGTGGTGTGCCGGGTACAGCCAGGGGCGTGGTGTGCCGGGTACAGCCAGGGGCGTGGTGTGCCGGGTACAGCCAGGGGCGTATTTCTTGTCGCCCTTTCTTGGAAACCAGTTTTTACAGATAATATTGTTAGGTACTGGAATGTTAGTTGAGTGAATAATGCAGCACGCCACACACTCAATGTTGCGAGTGCACCGACGCTCACCAACATGTTGACCAAGACGGGTCCGAGGCAACACTCAAGGGTTAAGTCATCCATAATATTCTACAAACCAGTTCAGGGAGGAATCCTCATAATTTCAGTAAAAAAAAAAAAAAAAACTGAGCAAACAGCGCTCATCAGTACTGTTGAGGATATAGTTTCGTCAAGTGGAGTACGTCGCTGGGTTGTTGACTTGCTGGGAGAGTTCTACCGGTTGACTGAACAAATGTGACCATGTTAAACATTATCTACATGAACAGAACATCTAAGAGTTGTGGATGGCGTAAGATGAAGGGCCTCGCGGCTGAGTGGATAGTGCTCGGGGGTCGTAGTCCTAGTACCCCAGGGTCCGATTCCCGACGAAGGCGGAAATAAATGAGCAAAGTTTCTTTCATCCTGATGCCCCTGCTAACCTAGCAGTAAATAGGTACCTGGGAGTTTGACAGCTGCTACGGGCTGTTTCCTGGGAATGTGTGTATTCATCTAGTTAATAGCAAACAATGAAAGAAACGATTCTGTACCCTCTGGGAGATCATTTACATATATCAGAAACAGTATAGGTCCAAGGACTGAACCCTGCGGGACTCGACTGGTGAGACTCTGAGACCTCACCCCTCACGGTGACTGGTTGTCTTCTGTTGCTTAGGTACTCCCTTATAAAGTGGCGTACCTTCCCTTTCACTCCCGCCTGCATCTTCTGCTTGTGCACTAGTCTCTTATCTGGTACTGTGTCAAAGGCTTTTCGACAATCCAAAAATATGCAGTATTCCCAGCTCTCTCTATATTGCCCGATTTGTGTTGCCTAGTCATAGAATTAAATTAATCCTGTGAGGCATGATTTGCCATCCCTGAACCCATGCTGCTGCTGTGTTACAAAGTTCTTTCGCTCCAGATTTTCCACTAGATTTTTCGCACAATCTTCTCCATTATCTCGCATGGTATGCAAGTTAGGGACACTGGCATGCAGTTCAGTGGCTCCTGCCTATCACCCTTCTTGTATATTGGGACTACATTGGCAGTCTTCCAAATTTTTGGTAGTTCACATGTTATCAGTGATTTGTTGTACACCATGGATAGTGGCAGGCACAGAGCTTCTGCTCCTTCCTCTAGTATCCATAGTGAGATTCCATCCGGGCCTATAGCCTTTGTCACATCCAATTCTAGCAGATGCTTCTTCATCTCCCCACTGGAGATGAGGAAATAATCACAAACTTCCCTAGTGGTGTCTGGTTAGATATTTCCTTTCTTATCTCTGGGACTTCACCACTGTTTCCTTATTCTCATATCAGATATAGACTCAAATACAAGGCACAGCTTCGCGCCATCTTTTGCAGATGACACAAAAATCAGCATGAAAATTACCTGTGCTGAAGACATTGAAAAACTTCAAGCTGATAATAATAAAGTTTTGGACTGGGCAGCAGAAAATAACATGATGTTTAACAGCGATAAATTCCAGGTACTCAGATACGGTAAAAGTGAGAACCTTAAACATAATACAGGGTACAAAACAATCAAATTTGTCCATAGTTGGAAAGCGACATGTAAAGGATTTGGGAATAATGATGTCTGACAACCTAATGTTTAGGGAGCATAACCAAACAAATATTGCGTCAGTGAGAAAAATGATAGGATATATTACGAGAACTTTCAAATCCAGAGATCCCATCACAATGGTTGTACTCTTCAAATCACATGAGTTGTCCCGTCTTGAGTACTGCTCAGTACTCACTTCCCCCTTTAGAGCAAGAGAGATTGCTGAAATAGAGGGAATACGGAGAACATATACGGCATACATAAACGCGAAAAAGCACCTAAATTATTGGGATCGTCTCAAAGCTCTCCAAATGTACTCGCTAGAAAGAAGACGAGAGAGATATCAAATAATATACACATGGAAAATACTGGAGGGCCAAGTCCCAAATCTACACAGTAAAATAACAACGTACTGGAGTGGACGATATGAAAGAAAATGCAGAATAGAACCAGTGAAGAGCAGAGGTGCCATAGGTACAATCAGAGAACACTGTATAAACATCAGAGGTCCGCGATTGTTCAACATCCTCCCAGCGACTATGAGAAATATTGCCGGAACATCCGTGGACATCTTCAAGAAAAAACTAGATAGTTTTCTCCAAGGAGTGCCGGACCAACCGGGCTGTGGTGGATATGTGGGCCTGCGGGCCGCTCCAAGCAACAGCCTGGTGGACCAAACTCTCAAGTCAAGCCTGGCTTCGGGCTAGGCTTGGGGAGTAGAAGAACTCCAAGAACCCCATCAACCAGGTGTCAACTAGGTAGAACACAGACTGTGGTAATACTCCGCCACAGGAAATTAAAGAACTTACAACAATTTTAAAGTAAGTCTCTTACTTTGCTAATCCAAAGCATAAGCCAAAAATATTTAACATGAATAAGTAAATATGTACAAAGTAAATGAAGGCGGGAGATTAAGATGAGTGTTGATGGTCAGTCTTCTGGCCAGGAAGACCTCAGTCATCAGCAAGAAGTTATGGAGCCCTGCTGAAGGAGCACCGCAGCCAGGGGCCGCAAGGAGCACCGCAGCCAGGGGCCGCAAGGAGCACCGCAGCCAGGGGCCGCAAGGAGCACCGCAGCCAGGGGCCGCAAGGAGCACCGCAGCCAGGGGCCGCAAGGAGCACCGCAGCCAGGGGCCGCAAGGAGCACCGCAGCCAGGGGCCGCAAGGAGCACCGCAGCCAGGGGCCGCAAGGAGCACCGCAGCCAGGGGCCGCAAGGAGCACCGCAGCCAGGGGCCGCAAGGAGCACCGCAGCCAGGGGCCGCAAGGAGCACCGCAGCCAGGGGCCGCAAGGAGCACCGCAGCCAGGGGCCGCAAGGAGCACCGCAGCCAGGGGCCGCAAGGAGCACCGCAGCCAGGGGCCGCAAGGAGCACCGCAGCCAGGGGCCGCAAGGAGCACCGCAGCCAGGGGCCGCAAGGAGCACCGCAGCCAGGGGCCGCAAGGAGCACCGCAGCCAGGGGCCGCAAGGAGCACCGCAGCCAGGGGCCGCAAGGAGCACCTGGCACCACTGTATTTAATAGGCATGATCGCGTGTTCTGGCAACCTTGAACCTCTGTTTACAGAGGAACAAAGTACCAGAAGATTAATAACATATTTTATACTAGTGTAGGATTTCCTCCTTTGTGTTCACAGTAACGATTTCTTCATCTGTTTCACAATGTAAACAAGACGACAATAAATAAATACGAACAACAGCCGATGCTCTCAAATGTTTGAGCGGTTTAGTCCCGTGTCAGACCTGCTGGACTTACCGCCAACCTCCTCTTCCCTTCCCACTGCTTTCTTCTCAATTACATCAGTCTTGTCCCTCTGGCGAAAATGAAGACAAATAAAATTCTGAAAACTTTCTAAGACACCGATTGGTGTGGGAGGCCGGCCTCGGGAACGTGGGAGGCCGGCCTCGGGAACGTGGGAGGCCGGCCTCGGGAACGTGGGAGGCCGGCCTCGGGAAGGTGGGAGGCCGGCCTCGGGAAGGTGGGAGGCCGGCCTCGGGAAGGTGGGAGGCCGGCCTCGGGAAGGTGGGAGGCCGGCCTCGGGAAGGTGGGAGGCCGGCCTCGGGAAGGTGGGAGGCCGGCCTCGGGAAGGTGGGAGGCCGGCCTCGGGAAGGTGGGAGGCCGGCCTCGGGAAGGTGGGAGGCCGGCCTCGGGAAGGTGGGAGGCCGGCCTCGGGAAGGTGGGAGGCCGGCCTCGGGAAGGTGGGAGGCCGGCCTCGGGAAGGTGGGAGGCCGGCCTCGGGAAGGTGGGAGGCCGGCCTCGGGAACGTGGGAGGCCGGCCTCGGGAACGTGGGAGGCCGGCCTCGGGAACGTGAGAGGCCGGCCTCGGGAACGTGAGAGGCCGGCCTCGGGAACGTGAGAGGCCGGCCTCGGGAACGTGAGAGGCCGGCCTCGGGAACGTGAGAGGCCGGCCTCGGGAACGTGAGAGGCCGGCCTCGGGAACGTGAGAGGCCGGCCTCGGGAACGTGAGAGGCCGGCCTCGGGAACGTGAGAGGCCGGCCTCGGGAACGTGAGAGGCCGGCCTCGGGAACGTGAGAGGCCGGCCTCGGGAACGTGAGAGGCCGGCCTCGGGAAACAGAAAGGAAGGTTTGTAAAAAGTGGGAGGGAACCTATAAAATTTGAGAGGGAGCTAAGGAAAGTGTGAAAAAGTTTTTGGTGAAGTTTCATTGGGAGGGTGGCATGGTGCAGCACTGGCCCCACCTGGGTATGTCGGAAATCCGACATACATAGCATGTCAACATAGCCACTAACATAAATTTAAAGAGATTGGGAGATTGTGACATCACAACACGTATATTTACACATCTCATTTCTTTTAAACAACAGTCTAGTGTTAATGCTTAACAATATAGTATTCACTATGACTGGTATCTAAGATAATTATACCATACAACCACAGGCTCCCTTACTATTGTTAAATAAACTTGGAATATGACAGAGTATTGGACCCAAATATTATTGGAACACCACCTCGGGGAGGCGGCGTCTTCGTCTCAGAAAAAATTTAAACACACACGAGTGCTTCTAGAGATTTTGAGACACGCTTCACACACGATAGACTATTCCATCGTAGTGCCTTGCCTCAGCAACCTCTACAACAACAGGAGTACCATAGTATCCGACTTGTGTAATATATAATTTTTAAGGGCCCAATAATCTTAGATAAATATCATTTCGGTTAAACTGTGGGGGCGACACCCCAAACATTGAGTTTACTCATCTTTACTACACACAAATAAATTCATGTCACACCTGTACTTTATATGTTAACGGAGCCATTATTAAAGCCCATTCTTTCACAGGTAAACTTGTGATCTGGAGATATTAGCTGTTTACCAACTACATAACCTGTGATGCTTTCATGCATGATCTGGCTGCCCCTACAGACGCCATTACATGGCCCAGCACCTGGACCACATGTACCCAACCAAACACAGGTGTTAAAACAGCTGTTTCACACTGCCTAATCTGGCCATACCTAC